TTAACGATCCTATTCAAAGAAACTCCATCTACACATCAATCCCAGAAAATAAGTGCATTTTCTCTCTAAAAGATTTAAAAGGTATCTTATTCCATACATAACCAAGTGGCTGCCAGAGTAATACATATGGATATCAATAAACAGGTTTACACAAATTGTAATTAAAAATAATCAAAACCATGTTCGCAAATAGACAAAAATATGCACAGTTTAAAATGTGATTCCAAAGAAAATGGCACCCAAAAAACTAGCACCTGCAATTTAACAATTGAGACACACCTACAGAATTTCAGATGTTCTATATAAATGTATTCTGTAGATTAAACAGCTTAGACAAGGTCAGAGCTCTCAAATACACCACATTTTGTGGGACATTCTTCATTTCAATTGTACTGGGGGATGCAAGGGAATGTCGGCCTAACTAGCCACACTGGTGATCTAGGGCAGTGGTTCTCAGGGGTATTTAGAGGTCTTCCAGGGGGTACATTAACTCATCTAGATGTTTGCCTAGTTTGACAACAGGCTACATAGGGATCTAATCACATAGAGTGTGGGGTTCCTAGGGATTTGCTTGTTTTGGCCTTGTTTTGAAATGGGATTAGTTTGATTTTTGGCTGATTGTGAAAGTCGGGGTGCTTATTTACCGCATTAAAGTTGGCAACTGTGCTTGGGGGTATGCAAGACATATCAGACTCTTGTAAGGGGTACAGTAGTCTGAAAAAGTTGAGAGACACTGATCTAGGGTGCACCAGAAACTTACAGAATAGCAAGACAGCTCAACTCTTCTGAGGACTACACTAAAGCAAGTTGTTAATGAAGATGTGAGGGCCCACCAAATGTCCATAGCTGGGAAATTTGTTTGATATCCCGGGCCCTGTGCTGTTGCTGTGCTGTGAGAAGAGGCAGAGGGGGCAAAGCTCCACTCCAGAGTAATGGAAAATGGGGTCGCCATTGGGATGAACCAAGTATGGGAAGGGGGAGGGAGGAATGGTATTGTAGCATCTGTCCTCATGGTGCCTAGGAGTGGGGGAGTGGCTCTGGTCTTCGTGTTGGAAAAGGAGAGAGTGAGGTTCTGCTTTCTGGGTTATCACTTCAAAGCACTCAAAGGAAGGACGTGTAGCTGCTGAGTTGGTGCTTGGCAGTAGAGAGGAGGCCTGTACAATGGGGACGGCTGTGTTCCAATCTGTGTTGAATGCTGCTTATTGATGAATCAGCCAATAGAGGGTAACAGGACATTTGTTAAAAGGAAGAGGGATTTTTGTTGTTTGGTTGGTGGCGGGGGGGAGGGACACTTTATTTTGTCTTTAAACTCCATGAAAGAATTGAGCCTTTACATATCCTATGTCCTAAAGTTCCCACTGTGATCCTAATTCCATCTATATCTCAGTTGGCTACTTGAAACCTGAAGTTAAGAGATGGAGTTTCAATATTAACAATTTGTTCATTCTGAGAAATTCCTTTGGCAGAGGGTTGTTTATTTCATTGTGGGACTCAAGCCAGCTTGATTAAAATATTAAATGAAAGCAAGATAATAATCTGCAACTCTTTACCCCTTACAACCTATTTTGGGGAATGGATACCTTTGTGGTGTAACTTCTTTCTCATTTCAGTGCGGGTGGAATTTATATGCTTCTGTCCCGTGACTGTTAATGGGAGGTGTTTTGTTATGGTTTTTAAATGAATGCAGTATCACAGTATAGCAAATCCCATAACACATTCTAATATAAAAATATTACAGTTATGAAATTGATAAAGCAAATAGCAGGGAGAGAGAGAATTTAACAGGGGGAGAAAAGATAAGGTATAGTGGAGATAGGTAAGGATATACAGTACCAAACTCAGAGGTGAGTCAGAGGCCTTGTCTTCACTGGGAAAGTCGAGTCTTTAGCTCAACCTGCTAACTTGTGTGAAAACTACAAACTGCCTGAGCTTCACTAGGAATTTACCTGATTAACTAATTTGATTCAAGAACATAGCTTTTTACTGAGTGAAGATACAGCCTAAGGCAGGGGTGGGCAAACTTTTTGGCCCGAAGGCCACATCTGGGTATAGAAATTGTATGGCGGGCCATGAATGCTCACAAAATTGGGGTTGTGGTGTGGGAGAGGGTAGGCTTTGGGGTGGGCCAGAAATGAGGAATTCAGAGTACAGGAGGAGGCTCCAGGCTGGGATGGGGGGGGGGGGAATGTGAGGGCTCTGGCTGGGGGTGCAGGCTCTGGGGTGGGGCTGGGGATGAGGGTTTTGGGGTGTAGGAGGGTGCTCCAGGCTGAGACCAAGGGGTTTGGAGGGCAGGAGGGGGATCAGGGCCAATGGGTTCCTGGCCAATGGGAGTTGCGGGGGCGATGCTTGGGGCAGGACAGCATGTGTAGCAGAGCCCCCTGGTTACCCCTACGTGTAGGAACCAGAGGGAGGACATGATGCTGCTTCTGGGAGCTGTGTGGAGCGACCCCAGACCCCGTTTCCCAGCAGGAGCTCAAGTGCTGGATTAAAACAGCTGGTAGACTGGATGCGGACCGTGGGCCATAGTTTGCCTATCCCTGGCCTAAGGGAACCGGAAGATAGTTTCATGGCCTGATCCAGCACACACTGACATCAAAGGAAGGATTCCAGTTGACTTCAATCAGCAATGGATAAGACGCTGAATTCATGCAACTATAACCTTTTTCTGGCCTCCTCAGAGGCCACATCCACACTATCAAATTGAATGTCCATTTCAATGTACTGCAGCAGTGTAAGTGCTAGTGTAATTAGCATCAGGTGCAGAGCAGGTTTTCATGACAACTATAAAAACATCCATGTCTTCTCTACGGTAACGCTACACTGGTGTGTCTGGCAATATTGATGCATTGATACTGAAGAATTGGTATTAACATGTGCTAGGAGTAGATGCAGCCAATGTGTACATTACAACAACTTAACTTCCTCCAGAATCCCATTGACCTACATAGCCTCACTATGTAGACTGACTACACCCCTTATTTACACCCACATCATCTCTGCCTTTCACCTTATATTACTGCATAAAGTCACTAGGTACTGTATGCTAGATATTTAAACAGAACAATTCTCCAAAGGTTTTTAACTTTCTTCAGTTTCTAAGCAGTAACCGTCATACCCGAGCAGAAAGAAAAAAGCCATTTGAGACTCTATTCAAAGTAAAAAGACTGTCCTTCTTCTGTAGGAGGTGGCAATATAGCCGCTAAGGCCTCCCTTAACAGATTTTTATACACAAAGTCCTGTTTTATAGGTTAATATAGGCAAAAGATTAACACATCCCTATGCTTAAAACATTCAAACCAACAGATTAGATTTAAGGCCGGCTCCAGGATTTTGGCAGCCCCAAGCAGCCAAAAAAAAAATAAAAGCCGCGATCGTGATCTGCGGCGGCAATTCGGCGGGAGGTCCTTTGCTCCAAGTGGGAGTGAGGGGCCGTCTGCCGAATTGCCGCCGAATAGCTGGACCTGCTGCACCTCTCCGGAGCAGCCGCCCCAAGCACCTGCTTGCCAGGCTGGTGCCTGGAGCCGGCCCTGATTAGATTAAATGTATATGGGGGTATTGGCTCTAATGAGTAGTTGGAATATACTCTGAGAATAAGAAAAAGACATATAATTACCTAACAAGAGGGAAGATCAAGAAATAACACATTACCACAATTTGGATAACTATTATAATCTGGCACATTCTGATTTAGAATGTGACGAGACAGACCCTGGCAAGCCCTTGTACGGGTGCAGAAAGGACATGTTTATAAGAAGTGTCTCTCCCATATGCCCACCACACACAGCCCCCTTTACACCCTTTCGTGGAGCTGGCCAGAATTCTGATGGGGAGCGTAACTCCTGCTCACTTCTGGAACTCCCATGGAAGTGTGTGGTGTTTGAAAGAGGAGGCACTGGCCAGCAGAGCTGGCTAAGCAAAAAGGGAAATACATGCTTCACCCCTCCTAGGAGTCTCCATAGAGCAGGGGGTCTCAAACTCAATTTACCTTAGGGCCAGTGCCAGTCCTCAAATCCTCCCAGCAGGCCAATAATGTCACTGAAGATGGTGTTCAGAAAAGTAAATGTTTATATTGTATTTTTATTTCGAATTTCTTAGAAATAATAAAACTGTCGTACAACTTTATACAGTTCTTCGCCTGCCAGAGAGTTTTTAGTGTTTGCCAGACACCTGGCAATGCTTCAGTTCTGTGAGTTTGTTGATGTTTGGCCTCAGTGACTGAGCAGTTGAAACTTTCAGGATTGCAGCAAGGTGTGTGCATCAGATAGTTGTGTTCGGTATTTTGACTTGTTTATTCATTGTGAATAAAAGTGACACTGCCTCCATGTCTAACTCTGCCCAGCAACTAATGACGCTGCCTCCATGGCTGACTCAACCCAGCGACTAGTGATGGAATCTCTGTCCCTCTCCCCTAGCCAATGGGAGCTGCGGGGGGCCGCGCCTGCAGCAGACAAAGACGGAAGCATGGCTGCATGGGTATCTCCTCTGCAGGCTGCAGGGGGGAGATTCTCGGACTGCAGATGGCCCAGGGGCCAGGACTTTGAGACCCCTGCCATAGAGAATTCTAGTTGAGTTTTGGGAGCTCCAACTGCTACATGCCCCTCTCAGCACTTTTGTAGATGCCCACTATATCTTGTCCTCTATTTTCTCAGGTTAGTAATATTATTTTCTCCTAAACTTAATTTTCTTCTATAGGTACTCCTCCATTTTATTCTTATTTGCATTCCATTGGCATCTGGAGGCCCCAGCTGAGTCCAGGGCCCCATTGTGCCAGGCACTGATCAAACATACAGTGAGGGACAATATGTGTCCTGAAGAGTTTACAATCTAAACAGACAAGCCATTTTGTCTTTGGAAGTTTCTACGTGTTTCAGTCTCATCTAATGTTTGAAATTTGGTATCAAAAGTAATTACCTCAGAGTCAGGAGAATCAATGTTACTTCCAAGAACCTGACATTTTTCATTCAAAGCTGATTGCACTTTGTCTCTTTTGTCTACTTTTCCAGAAGCTCCCAAATGGACACCCCACAGGAGACTTGCAAGAAAAGGATGCCCTCTCCGGCTCCTTAAAAAGGCGAGGAGGTATGGGTCTTATAAAAGTCACTTTTATCTCCTTCTCTGTCTTTTTTTCCTTCACCACAGCTGATCAGCAAATTTGTCTCCTTTCACTACAAGTCCGGGAAGGATTTTATTTTGCAAGTAGTGACAATTCAGTATTGGTAGAAGAGCTTTGCTATCATGAGCCTTCTTCTCTCAACAGTTTGGACATACCCATGTCAAGTCTAATTTAAAAAATGCGCTAAGTAGTGCTTCTACCACTTGCCTTGGGAGTCTATTCCACAGACTAATGGCTTGATCACTAGAACTTCCATTGACTTCCCTGGAAGTCGGATTTGTCTCTTAGAGATCTCACTATAGGAAGGGGTTTTCCCCTCACCCCTACCCTGACATTGAATCAATATTTTCACTTTCCTAATTTCATCTCATTATATCTCTTTTCATGCAGTACCCTTCTATCTGGCTCACTGTGTTAAATAACATCTCTTGCTTCTTGACATTTACACCCTTCAAATAGTTGTATATCATTATTATGTCCCTTCTGAATTGCTGCTTAGTCAAGATATACATGTTGAATATTTTAACTCAAGCCTGCCCCTCCATCTCTAACCATATTTATTGCTCTTCTCTGAAGACCATCAGATATGTCAATATTTCACTGGTACTCCAGTGCACAGTTGTTCACAACATTCCATGTATGGTAATTCCACAGCCAGAGAGAGGGAGAATATTCCCTTCCTGTCTTGTGACACGATTATTGATTTTTTGCTGCTATATTATCCTGCAAACTTGCATCTAATTTGCTGTGTGCTGTCACACCTAACGGCCTATGCTGAGGGACCCAGACATAACATGGTTGTTTAGCGATATAGTTAGAAAATGATGGCACACTGTACCATAGACAGGATTTTTGAAATAAGTCTCTCTGACATGTTTGTTTTTACAGTGTAGATTTCAGATGATTTCCCCTCATGTGCATTTTCTCTTTTTCTCAAGTAGAATTTCATTTCTTGGGGGTTTTGCCCATGTTTCCTCTATTATTTACCTACCCTCACTGATGTTTGCCAAGTTAGTATCATTAGCAAATTTCATTAACATGGCATTTATTCCCTCTTCTAGATCCTTAGTGATCCACAGATTCATGTGATGCCCTCTCTCCAATTCAGCTCTCTGCCATTTATTGCAACCCTTTTTTTACAGTCCATCAGCCACTTTTCAGTGCATGTCACAGTGTGCGCATCTAAACCACAGAGCACTGTAGCAAACACTAGAACTCAAAACAGTAAACATCCACCATGTTGCCTTCAGCCATTAATTTTGTAATGCTGTTAAAAAGGAATTTGTATTTGTCTCCAGAAATGGGACGGTTCCCTGAGTCTTTGAGGTGCTGGGAAGCAGAAGACCTCCTCATATGTCCTGTCTCCAAGGGGCCTCTTGGAGTGAATGATCAGAAGGGCTGGGGCTTCGGTAACTGGAAAAGGATGTGAGAGGAAATGAGTAACTGGAGAAGGTTGTTGGAAGGAGAGGGGATTTGTGTGATGGAAGGAGTTTGGCTGACCAGAGAGGAAGGATGGTCTAGTGGTTAGGACAGGATTGAATCCAGGACTCTCTTCGTAAACTCCTGAGTACCTGACCCTCTGGATTTTGTTTACAGAATTGATGTAAATTGAAACCATTATGTTTTGAATAGCCTTAAATAAAAGCTAAATGAATAAAGTATTTTAGAACACTGTATAATGATGTATCAACAGCATGTTTTGGGGAAAAAAAAACATTTCCCAAGTTTATCTTCTGTATCTGAAGAAGAACAATCAACATGTTTTAATAAAGTCTTCTTTCCCCCCCCCCCCCAATAATAAGCTAATTAAGCTGTGGTGTAAATTCACCAGGAATGAATATGGGCCAATAGATTTATTCTGTAAGATTAAAAACAAGAACTGTGTACTAGCTATGGGGAGGGAACTGCCAAGAGATCTGAAGGTATTTTTCACGAACATCCAGTTGACCTTGTGATGTTTTCATCTCCAGAAGATATAAAGATTCCTTGTTAAATATACTCTATACTAATAAACTATCTTTCTGAATCCAAACTAAATCCATAGTCTGAGATTCTGGATTACTGTAGATAAATCAAACCATGTAGGCAATTCTTACTCATTGGGCTACATAACAAAATATGTAAAAAGCAACAGAGGGTCCTGTGGCACCTTTAAGACTAACAGAAGTTTTGGGAGCATAAGCTTTCGTGGGTAAGAACTTCACTTCTTCAGATGCATCTGAAGGTTCTTACCCACGAAAGCTTATGCTCC